TGAAACGGAGTTGAACGGCATTATAAAATAGTATATAAACTTTTAGATATGGTGGCTATTCAGGCTAGAGATATATTCTCGAATTCTCGAAGTAGCTAACATTTCAACATGCTAAGTACTTTTTCGGTCATCTGGGATCACGTTAAAAATATGTTCGATTCCTGGAGGCCACGTGTTCGATTCCTGGAGGTCACGTGTTCGATTCCTGGAGGTCACGTGTTCGCTTCCTGCATTGGCCGAGAAAGTTAATCGGGATTTTCCGACGTGGTTTCTCCTTGTCAGTGGTGCAGGAAGGATGGCCTCTCAAGTACAGCTGTCTAGTCATTCGGATGGGGCGAAAAACCGTTTCATTTCGTCAAAAATAATGTCATTGTAAATGTGTTACTATTGGTTGTCTGTTTGGCTCATCTTCAGAACAGTACTACTACCCCATTTCATTTTTCGGTGTTGGCGTTGCTCTAATGTTCAGGGAGCTCATCGAAAGAAATGTTGAATATCCGTTGAACATCAAAACCATCCGATCGCCTAGAGAGTTGGTTATGGGCTTGACATATCCATAAATGTCTAATTAATGATTTAAGTAACATTTGGGGTACAATAGCCAGATAATGTATGTTTAAATTACTTACAACAGAGTGGAGTTGGTGATGCATTGACTAGTTGATAACCAGGTGTCGGACACGTATATCCAAAACTTTTTATATCCAGTTCAAGACTATCGATCTCGCCACAAGTAGAATTAAACTTAAAAACATCATCCTTAAAGTTTAATAAATCGTCTTTACAAGTTTCAAATTCTGCGGTATCCTTGTCAGGATCGGTTACGCGTAATACAGCATCCAGCTTGCCCTGCAAATATCACACAATTAAACTTTTAAATACATGATTCTTACATTTCAAACACATGAAATTAGTGAAATCATTAGAGTGGCATTTATAATAAATAATTAAAACAACTATATTCTAAGAAGACAAATTGATACTAGTGTTTCAACGTGCAGCCAGTGGAATTTTCATGTGGATACTCATACAGGCTTGGGCGATATCAAATAACAATAATATGGATTAATTTCTGTCTCTACAAAATCATAATCTGAATATTATTGCGACTTGAAACTTTCTCAGACAAGCATTCCTTACATAGAGACAGGCATTCCTTACACAGACAGTCATTCTTTATATAAACATCCCTTACTATTTCTTATAGAGACGGTCATTCCTCACATAGATAGCTATTCTTTATAGAGACAACCATTCCTTATATAGACACTCATTAATACAGAGACGGTCATTAATTATAGCGAGTCATTAATACAACTACATGTATTCCTTATAGGGTCAGACATTCCTTATATAGACCGACATTCCTGATAGAGAGAGAGAGCGCGTCATTCTTTATAGATATAGTAACACAACAACTAAGATCAATCTATGAATTATGCTGATGAGTAAAATATTCCTAAATGATAACCATAACATCTTGCTCAATACTTTCAAAATAACAATGTTGCATGTCATTATTAACAGCTGATGATAACAACAGAGAGAAGTTTGTTTCAAATGAATAGTTTACCTTTCAGATATTTTAAAATGTGTAAGAACTTTTATTTTTTTTAATGAAAAAGGAAGAATACAATTTCTCACAAAAAAAGATTGTCTGAGCAAAATTGTACCTTGAACTCGATTAAACTTACTTCAGTGTCTAAATGGCAAGCAGTGGTTGTAGGGCTGTCTATCATAAATCTAAGAAAACAAATTGATACTCCCTCCGAAAATATCAACAAAGATATTGGACGCGGTTAAACTTACTTGAGTACCCACGTTGAGTTGACTGGCCGTAGCATTGTTCACCATAAGTCTCCCCTTCCTACAGGTTTGACTCAATTCAGATGTAGAAGCAGAAAAATGGGTTTTAAACTCCTCTTCGAAAGTGCCGACACAGCTCTTAAATAGTCCCTTAAATGTATACACAATTTCAACAGCATATGTATAGACCGGTGTTTCACTACCTAAAATACGAAACAAGTGAAGAACTTTAGAAGTAATTGATTAATCTAAATAGTAGTCTGATTAGCAGATGGTGATGACAAGATGGTAATCTAAGTAGCAGAGCGACTGTTCACAAGAAAAACATTAAAAGCGGATTGTTTATAACTAACGGTACAGTTTATTTGAATTACGTTGTTTACAAAAATGTAGAGTTCAAGGGTTGAATTAAATAGTCATGCAGAAAAATACAATATCTATTTCATCTGTTTTTTCTCGTGACTGACAAGGACTGTGTATTGTGTTTAGAGTATAGTGTTAGAAATGTTCATGTCAAATCACGCCATGCCTTCTTGTTTTCAACATGTCCCAATAGCCGAAATTATCTCTATTTAGAAAAAATGCTATAAAGGGGAATAATTCCAAACAGGTTGTCAGGATACAGACCACCATTAGTTTTGTAAAATAACACAAAATACTGTAGCGACATTGTTTGTCGTCGCGAACAGCGACATTTATAAGTTGGTAATCTAAATAGAGTGGTGATTAAAATATGGTAATCTATTATCTAAGTAGTAGTAGTAGTAGATGTGTGATTACAGAGAAAGACAGAAATGGGGTTTAACGTCCACTCGACACAAACTAGGGAATTTCGGTACTAAAATATGGTTTAATTTTATTTCAATAATTCGCTTACGCGTAGGGGTCTTTAGCGGTTGGAGGAAACCGGAGGACCCGGAGAAAACCAACGAGGCTGGACAGGCAACCCTACTCCTTGTCACGTACAACCGGGGATTCGAAAGCACGCCAGGTGACTCAATGACAGGCCTTATGATGCAGCACGCACGTGCTAACCATTCGGGCATCCACCCCCTCCCAGGTGATTACAAGATGGTAATCTAAGTAGCAGATGTGTAGTGGTGATTACAAGATGGTAATCTAAATAGTAGATGAGTAGAGTGGTGATTACAAGATGGTATACTATATAGTAGATGAGTAGAGTGGTGATTACAAGATGGTATACTAATTAGTAGATGTGTAGAGTGATGATTAGAAGATGGTAATCTGAATAGTAGATGTGTGAGGGGTGATTACAAGCTGGTAATCTAATTAGTAGTTTGTGTACAGTGGTAATTACAGGACGGTAACAACAAGTAGTAGATGATTAGCTGTAAGCATCAACCGAGCTGTAAATTATCAGACCTGTAAGGATACAGGCTTAAATGAAGAATGAAAACAAGGTTACAATTAACAGAGAAAAACTTTATAGTGAACACAAGACATAATATACTTGAGTGGGATGACAGCTGGCATGAAGACAGAATATCTTTAAAATATATTCCTATTAAATTCATATTAAAGATAGAACAGTACAGGATGGGTAGAGATGTAGATCAGTTTAACATAATTCTTACCCACACAGTCTTCGTCTCTATCATCCCCTATCCACATATTTTCACCACTACAGTTATACATATGTTTGGTATTACCATTATTAAAATAATAACCAGAGTTACAGTTAGTGGTACAGACGAGGGATCCAGTGTTACTATTTTGTTGGCAAACTCTCGTAGCATTATATAAAGTTTGTAAGCTTTTCTCCAAACAAACCGTGGCTTTAAATAGATAAAACATTAAATATTCAGATATATATAAATATTTTTGATATTTAAATACTATAATCTATGAAAAATACCGTGGCTTTAAATATATATAACAATAAAAAATTGATATTGATATATATATTTGATTATTCAAATACTTGAACATAATCGAAAATGAAACTTATTCATTCAATTGATATAAAATTGAAATAGATATTGGATTTTATGTGTTGGTTTGTTGTGTGGGGTGGCCATCTGTCATTGTTGAAAAGTTTAGTCTATAAGCCATCGGGTGGATCATATATTGAGTGTATTAGTCAATGTCTATAACAACCTTCGTTGAAAGTTAATCTGGGCTCAAATTCCCAGAAACGGGTAGGCTGCAAATCGAGACTTATTGTTTATCATCTTGGCAATGATAGTAATTGAGACTATTCGGGGTTTTTTCTTATAAAAATACCAAACATGACATGTTCAATGACATGTTCATTTTTTTAATTATTTATTTTTAAAATTGTAAAGCAAGAACAGTGAGCTCATTATTTAACTCTTATGTAAAACATCTTTAAGAAAATAACGCACTTCACGTGTGTACTACCCATCCACACTGTAATTATAAACTTACCTATAACATTTGACCATCTATCCACACTGTAATTATAAACTTACCATCCATCAACACTAAAAGTATTAAACTTACGTTTAACGTGAACTTGGAAAGCACAGGATGCATTCTCGAGTCTACCAATAGCATTGACTCGAACATCTGTGTAACTGTCAGCCTGGGTTATTCCAACTGTAACTGTGGGTGGCATTATCTGTAACGGGCTGTTACTGGAGATATTCTGGGAAAGGTCATATGTCGATGATGTTGCACTGGTTAAATGTAATTCTAGCCTGTCTGGACAATCTAACGTCACATTATTAGTTTCTAGAGAAATAATAGTATAATATTACCATGGGAACATCCTCCTGATTGTATGACCTCCGGATTCAAGTAATAATAATAATTTGAAAGATTTGGCATATCGTGTTAGTAGTTCAGATAAATAGCTAGGTACAAGATTTCGCAAGCACAGAGCCTTAAAGTTGATGCGAGCTGGAATTGGGAGCCAATGTAAAGATTTTAGAATAGTTGAGATGATGTATTCTGTATTATCTGTGGAGACTAGTTTGATTAATAGGGTCTAGTACTTCAAATTATGTATGGCTTGGACACCAACAACAGCGATTATTTCAAATTTAAAAAACAACTTTATTTTGCATGCCCTCTCTGTCTCGGTATCTTTACGTCACTTAATGCAAAGAATCAATTGACACCATTACAACTTATCTGCTCGTACGACAAATGTCTCGGTTATTTACCCATAAGTTACCAATACTAAATATAATGGCGTCATTACAAATTACCTGCTTGTACGATGAAACTAACAAGGCAAGTTACTGTGTTATTTTCACCATCTATAGCCGTGTAGGTAACGTTTAAATCATCCAGTAGAGTAACTCTACCGGTAAAGTCATCTGAAGCCGTTACCATGACAGATCCTGAATTATCTGTAGCTGTCGGTGGGGAAAAGGTAAATTCCTCCAGGGGTTTCTTCAAGTAAAGTTCGGTTGGACAATTATCAAATACTGGATCGGTTGTATCTGTAAAATATATGAATATCCAGTCATGTATTGTGCTTGTCAAGAGGCCTTGTCGGTGTTGGACTTGGATAGCAATTCGGATGGGACAAATACTCAAGTCCCGTGTACACATTAGCGTAAAAGAACCATTGTCATTTGGAATACGATATAAGAGTAGGCAGTAGTGCTGCTGTCATATCACACTGCGTGTCGTATCCTCGTCTTCATTAGATCAGTCGGAGAAGAACAGTAGGACGTTAAACCCCATTTCATTTCATTTCTTGTCGGTGTTGATGGGCTTTTGGTTGCCATTTAGGACGCGACGGTTCTATATTTTCATACAAGTTGAACATTGGTTATTTTAGTGTCAGTCTCTCTATTTATAGATTTAAGATGGAAGTAAAACACGATACAACTTTACGCTCGGCAATATCTGTCCCATTATATATGGTCGATGTTACCAATGGATACGATCAAATCTTACCTTTACACGTGGGTACTGTAGAATTCCAGTCTACCTGACCATTACTGTTAATTGTACAGTATAATGGTTCTGCTGGCACGGGCGTATAGCCACTTCTTGAACAGGTGTAGCTCACAGACTGCCCAAATCCGTAACCATCGGTAACCTGTGTCGCATTAGCTGATGTTCCGGGATCGGAACATGAATTACCTTATAAAATATAAATAACAATTGATACCCAAACATTAGCTGATGTACCTGGTTCGGAAAAAGAATAACCTTATAAATTAAAATCATAATTCATAAGTCTTAGAGAGCTAGTTCTATACGAATAAGACTTTGTACTGAATCTATCGAGGAGTGCCGATTATCATCCAATGATATAACCAGTATTTCCAAGCGACGGAACCCCTTTTTTGGTTACTTTGGACAAACGTAAGTTTTGGAGTGCACCACTAAAAAGAGGGAACCCCACTGGAAAATTCATAGATACTTTCTCTACCAACAAAGGGATCGAACCCAGGAAAACCTCGTTATACAGCCAGCGCATTATTCACTGAGCCACCGCGACTACCCTGCACACGAATGTGACGAACACCAAAGAGGAGACCGTAGTGGCGCAGTCCGGGCAAAAGTTCCCTTATAGCACACTGTGTGGCGTATGCCCGTATTCATTAGCCCAGTCTGGACAGAATAGTAGGACGTTAAACCCCATTCCATTCCAGTATTAATTAAACATGAACTTACCGACACATGTAAGGTTACCATATCGCCAGCGACCAGTATTCATACAAACAACTTCAAAATCTTCAACAGTTTCATTGGCAGATCCTTGTCGGTTGAAATTAGGTTGACACGTAAATGTAAAACTGGAACCGATTGTAGAATTGACGGTTGGTACTGTTGATCCGGGTATGGTCAATAACGGACCACATTCGATTACTTTAATAAAATACAATCAGTTAGTATAGTAACAATGTCATATATATTATATCATTTAGTATAGTAACAATATTGAACCCGTTACTTTAGTAACAATACCACCCAGTATTAAACCAGTTACTGTAGTAACAATACCACCCAGTATTGAACCAGTTAGCACAGTAACATTGCTACTCAGTATTAAACCAGTTACTATAGTAACAATGCTACATATTATTAAACCAGTTACGATAGGAACAATACTACACATTAGTAAAAACCAGCTGCAATAGCATATTGTTATATCCGTTAAAATATTACCATACCAAATATATTATTACAGTTAGTACAGTAACATCTGGCTCCTAATATTATAACAGTTGCAATATTGTAACATAGCAACTCATTATATTATAGCAGTAATTATAATAGTAACTTAATGAAACCTTATAATCTGTCAATAACTATGTAAAGTCATAGCAATTGCTGGCACTATTATAATATTAAATCTATCTGTTACTAAGTCCAAATAATATGATACGCTTTACTATATATAGCAACATAATTGCTAAGGTAACAAAGATATTACAACAAAATGTGTTAGTATGCCAATAACTGTAGTAATATTGTAGCAGTTATCATATAATTGCCATAGTAACCAATGTCGTACAACTAAATGTGTAAAAGTGCACTAACCTGGACAGAGAGTAGAATCCCCCTGTAAATCATACGTATTATTCTGACTATTGTATGCACAATATTGTGTTTTGTTGACTCTACTACCATCATCTAGCAGACATTCTACAATAGCCTTTCCACCATATTCTACTTCCGTTTCACCCATTTTTATCGTAGCCCGTTCTTGATTTAATGCTGGTCCTTCTAACATCACACCGGTACACTGGGCACCTGTAACATATCTCATCAATGTAAAAGCGTATCAGAATATAGTTATTAAATATTTTCCTTTCCTTTGGTAGTCGGTCATAATTTCCCCTTAAAGGCGTTAGCGTCATCATAAAAACGAAATATTCAAAATCATGACGTGTTGATGTTTTACAATCATGACGTATTGATGTTTTACAATCATGACGTGTTGATGTTTTACAATCATGACGTATTGATGTTTTACAATCATGACGTGTTGATGTTTTACAATCATGACGTGTTGATGTTTTACAATCATGACGTATTGATGTTTTACAATCATGACGTGTTGATGTTTTACAATCATGACGTGTTGATGTTTTACAATCATGATGTGTTGATTTTATACTCATTCGACACCAATTTCCACGGATCAGAATCAAAACATGTCCAATTTACGATACAAAATAAAGAAAATGAACACAATCTGTTGTGATACTTACGTTCACAGGTTGGAACACTTTGATCCCAAGATTGATTAGGTCCACATGTCAGATCACTAGATCCATTTAATTGATATCCAATATTACACTGATATTTTACAGTTTCATTATAGAAAAAATACTCTCTTAAACTGAGTAGTAGACCATTGGTTAGATTCCCTGGATGTGGACAGACGTTTCCTTTAAATAAAAAATTACACAGTGTTAAATACTGTGGGGTAAAAAAAAGGGGCAAAAATTTTAGATTTGACATTGTCAAAAGAAAAAAAGGATTTTAATAGACATGTAAAGGCTTACACTTTAAGTTGTTGTCCTTGTATTTGTGTTAATTGTTTTGATAAGCGTTTATGATTACGTTATTGCGTTTAGTGTGATGAAACTTTACCATACTGTTTTTAGTTAATCGAGTGGGTGGTCTAATGGTTAAAACCCGTGCCCGTTGTAAACTGGATATTTATACAGAAATTGATCTTTTTGTTAAAATACTCAAGAATACTGGTTTCGACCGATTTTATTTGAGGATGAAACAAATAGAGGTTTAGAGGCTGGAAAATCCACGCAGCCATTTCGTTTCGTTTCGTTATATATCATTAAATTTCCTTCTATTTCTTTTAATTCCGTTTTGTCCGACTTTAATTTCGTTTCGTCTAAATTCATTGTGTATAATATAGTTTCATCTCGACTCCTATCGTATAATATAGTTTCATCTCGACTTCTATCGTATAATATAGTTTCATCTCGACTCCTTTCGTTTCATTTCGTTTCGTCACTTCCCATTCCGTAATTTCGTTTCGTATTTTGAAGGATCACGCTGGAGCATAAACAGCTGTTGGTGTTCGTAGTGTTTAGCACCCGCTACCACCGACGGTGATATCGCAGACAACATGTCTTATTTTTGTTTAGATTTTTTTTTATTATCTTAGCGCACGTGCAGAGGTCTTGTCTGTGGGCGGAAACCGGAGAACCAGGAGTAAACCCACGAGGTTGAGAAAGTGCCCACGACCGGAAGCCACAGGTGACCGACCATCAAGAGCTCAAAGCAAGACAATCTAATCCACTAGCGCTAGTACAAACAGTGATATACGTATGGTTGATATGAAATATATATACTCACGAACACAGGTATGGTTGATATGATATATGTCGCCTTCTTTCAACCCGGTATCAGGTGCTTGGATATTTCTACGATTTGTACCGTCTTGTGTAAAAAGAGAGAAACCCGATGGACATTCACACGAAAAACTTCCCATTGAATTGGTACAAGTATGACTACAGCCGCCATTATTCATATCACACTCAACAATATCTGAAATATAATAATAACATTATAAGTACACCAATTTGTTTTACAAGACTCTCGTCTAGTTTGATCAGTACAGCTAATATAATCAATAATAACATTATTATAAATGCACCAAAATTATTTAAAGGACATGCGTCCAACAGTACGTGCAGGAGGTGCGCACAATACACAAGACTAACTAGCGGACGAGACAAACAACATTGACATTGCAAGGAATAAACAACAATCATCAAATCAAGCAAAAAGAAAATACAACTGAGGCGAGCTACCCTCGGTCACATTGTCTTTGTGTCAATCCCAATCCCAATACTTTAAAAATCGTCATAACGGGCCGACTGCAAAACGTCATTATAATTTCCCTTAACTTTGATGTAGGTCACATAGGTCACATAAAGTTAAGGGGATATTTCTCACTCCAACTAGCCTTTGATTAAGGGAGAATTGATACTTAACATTGCCATTGAATTCCACTTACCTTTAACTTACAGGAAGTTACGTATATTTAAATGAAATCTAGTAGTTACGTGATTAATTCAGGCTTAAGATTTCAGGTGAATATGGACACCCGGTTTATATTTTAAATACATACCTGGACACCTGGTTGGGTCAGTCTATAACCTGGTTGAGTTACCTATAAACACGTAGTTGGACCGGTGGGCCTATAATCTAGTTTATACGGTAGTATCAGTAGGCCTATAACTTGTATACGTGGAGGCACTAGTAGGTCTATAAAGTCGTGTATATGGTAAATACAGGTTGATTTGTTAGAACCAGTAGGCTTATAATCTAGTTTACACGGTAAATATAGGTTAACTTACCTTCACACCTGGTAGAACCAGTAGGCTTTTAACATGGTATACACGGTAAATACAGATTGACTTACCTGCACACGTAGAACCAGTAGGTTTAAAACCTGGTTTACAATCACATCTGAAATTTCCCGGTATATTTACACACATCTGGGTTATATCATCACAGGAATTAGTGTTTAGTTCACACTCATCTTTATCTACAATATAACATCAATTACTTAACATACATCATTTACCACTTAGTTTAAGGTGTTGAACATCTCTGTATTCTTTTAAACACATTTATTTAAACAAGCTTTTAACTGACTTGATATATACATCATCCATATTGGCGGGAAAAAAATTAAAAGTCAATGCGAGCCCCTATTCTTGTTGTTTTGCACTCTAAATAGGCTATAATAATATAACACGGTGTATAATTACTATTATATTAAACAGGATGTAGAATTTTATTATTCTGGACGACTCATATAGTACAAATAAAACCATATCAAAACAAGCAGGCCCGTAATCTTCGCCCCCCCCCCCCCCCGACCCTTGTGCAAAAATTTTCGACCATAACAAACATATATTAACATTGTCCGTCAATATTACAGCACCCCTGAGAACACTTCACACCCCCCCTTGATGCCCTGGGCTAGTTACGGCCCTGAAAACAATAGATCACGTGAAACACTTATATGGAATACAAGTTACTTATACGTTATGACGAGGGTTCTCGAGTCTTCATCAATTCTTTGCTTGGTAAGGACGAGAGAACCGTTGTTGAAACGTCGTCAGAAAGTAACTTATATTCCCTGTAATTGTGTTTTGAGTTAGTCAGTTAAACAATTTAAAACAAGACAGTAACATAAAGTCACAATGATTACATCAACTACACACGTTCGTGTACCCACCACGTTCCTCAGAAAACATAATACTTACCAACACATACAACATCGCCAGCAAACATTTGATCAGTTCCACAGGTTAATGATTTGGAAGTATCAGTGGTACCATTGATCACATAACCAGAATTACAGGCAAATGCCACAGCTGTACCCAGATTTTCAGCTGTTGTCGCCATAGTTAATGCATCTTTAAACATTGGAATTGGACATTGTTTTGCTGTGATTTAAAGAAAAACAGAATATCATATTATTTGATATTAATAGTAATGTAAGGTTTACATTTTATTTGGTGTCCTTGTATTATTACTTGTTTTGATAAGCGTTAAAGAATACTTTATTGCGTTTAGTGTGATTAAACTTTTCGATAGTGTTCCTTATTAATATGTAGCTAAATATATCTGATTACTAATGGCGTCTTTCTCCCTTCTCCTCTCGATGGTCTTCGTCAATGTTCGTCTGGATATCCGTATCTACGATAGTGCTATTAGTCAATGTTCGTCTGGATATTCGTATCTAATATAGTGGTATTAGTCAATGTACGTCGGGATATCCGTATCTACGATAGTGCTATTAGTCAATGTTCGTCTGGATATTTGTATCTAATATAGTGGTATTAGTCAATGTTCGTCTGGATATTCGTATCTAATATAGTGGTATTAGTCAATGTTCGTCTAAATATTCGTATCTAATATAGTGGTATTAGTCAATGTACGTCGGGATATCCGTATCTACGATGGTGCTATTAGTCAATGTTCGTCTGGATATTCGTATCTAATAAAGTGGTATTAGCCAATGTTCGTCTAAATATTAGTATCTAATATAGTGGTATTTGTCGCTGTTCGTCTGGATATTCGTATTTAATATAGTGGTATTTGTCGATGTTCGTCTTGATATTGGTATCTAATATAGTGATATTTGTCGATGTTCGTCTGGATATTCGTATCTAATATAGTGATATTTGTCGTCGATGTTCATCTGGATATTCGTATCTGATTGATTCTTGTATATAATGGCCGCCTATTAAATTAGATACTAACCTACACACGTGGGTGTGGGATGCGACCATGTACCGCCTGTATTACAAATCACTTGTTTGGCTCCCCTCAGATCATACCCGGGAGCACACGAAAATACCACCAAGTCGCCGAAATCGGTGCCAGTATTATTCGTCATCAAATTGGCTGATAGCGTTAACTCCGGACATTGTTTGGCTGTTGAATAAATAAAATATTTAAAATTAATCTTAACATTTGTACAAAATACAAATAGAATTCGAGATAAATAGAGTACTATATCCTATAATTGAAACCTTTCTGGGATTTTACCATTCGACCGACGGCCAACTAAACATATTAAATCACATAAAGTATGTTGTTTCACAAGGATCAGTGTTTGGCCCATTTCGGTCATTAATGTTATCATTAGCAGAAATAATAATATATCTGAAATAATGGTACTACTATTGGATTGAGCAGTTTAATTTTTGCTTACTGGCCTTGAAAGGGTTCGAGTGCAATGTAACTATTTACTAACCTTGACATACTATACCGGAAGTAAACATTCCACCAGCTTCACACGTGGATTCGAGACTCCCAGGTGTCTGAGTCTGAAAACCATCATAACATGCATACGTTACTTTCTGCCCAACGACTGAGCTACCGGTTGAGTTTAATATAAAGCCATTATTGATAGGATCTGGTATGCCACAATATGTTACTGTAAATAAAACAAACCCATGTCAATAAACACTGCTGTCATTCTTGTCATATGTCATTTTATTGTTTTTAAGCTTTAATCATGTCTTGGAAGAAAGGAGTGAGTGTGGGGCGAAGCTCTAAAGGAATTACCCAGCCATAAGGCAATTGATCTATTGCTTCTGATTCTTGCAGTTGATTAACATATTTAATCAAGAAACGCACTGAAAGGCAGAATTTCTCATATTTATGTCTTTTTTATTTATTATTACGCTTTTTTCTTTCGGAAACACAGTGAAACGTATTACTGCCGTAAAGTGTATTGAATCTATTGCCCACGGGATTCTTGATTTTCATATTTATATTTCATTTATTGCCTTTGTACGGTTCATTTATATTGTACTAGCAGGATACCCGACTTCGCGCGGGGGTCATAACTCCGAAACCAGAAGTGGTAGACTAACGCCACCTTGCCTATGTTACTACCCGGTCCGAGCTACCCCTATACCCCAAATTTCAGACTCGGGGCAGATCTAGTGTAGCCGCCAACCCCGAACAGACCGGCTTCGAATGGGGGGCATAACTCCGAAACCGGGAGTGGTAGACTATCACCCCCTGGCCTATGTTACTCCCCGGTCCGAGCTACCCCTATACCCCAAATTTCAGACTCGGGGCAGACCTAGTGTAGCCGCCAACCCCAAACAGACAGACTTCGCTCGGGGGGCATAACTCCGAAACCGGAAGTGGTAGACTAACGCCATCTGGCCTATGTTACTCCCCGGTCCGAGCTACCCCTATACCCCAAATTTCAGACTCGGAGCAGACCTAGTGTAGCCGCCAATCCCGAACAGACCGGCTTCGCTCGGGGGTCATAACTCCGAAACCGGAAGTGGTAGACTAACGCCACCTGGCCTATGTCACTCCCCGGCTCGAGCTACCCTATACCCCAAATTTCAGACTCGGGGCAGACCTAGTGTAGCCGCCAACCCCGAACAGACCGGCTTCGCTCGGGGGTCATAACTCCGAAACCGGAAGTGGTAGACTAACGCCACCTGACCTATGTTACTCCCCGGTCCGAGCTACCCCTATACCCCAAATTTCAGACTCGGGGCAGACCTAGTGTAGCCGCCAACCCCGAACAGAATGGCTTCGCTCGGGGGTCATAACTCCGAAACCGGAAGTGGTAGACTAACGCCACCTGACCTATGTTACTCCCCGGCTCGAGCTACCCTATACCCCAAATTTCAGACTCGGGGCAGACCTAGTGTAGCCGCCAACCCCGAACAGACCGACTTCGCTCGGGGGTCATAACTCCGAAACCGGAAGTGGTAGACTAACGCCACCTGACCTATGTTACTCCCCGGTCCGAGCTACCCCTATACCCCAAATTTCAGACTCGGGGCAGACCTAGTGTAGCCGCCAACCCCGAACAGAATGGCTTCGCTCGGGGGTCATAACTCCGAAACTATGTTACTCCCCGGTCCGAGCTACCCCTATACCCCAAATTTCAGTCTCGGGGCAGACCTAGTGTAGCCGCCAACCCCGAACAGACAGACAAACAGACAGACAAACGACAGTCACAAATATTAGTATAGAGTTGTCTTTCCCTGATTAACAAAACAATTGCATGTAAAAAGGTTATTATACCATGACATGTTGGATAAGAATTGTCTTTCCCTGATTAACAAGAAAATTGCATGCAAAAAAGTAATGATACCATGACATGTTGGATAAGAGTTGTTTTGCCCTGATCAACAAGACAAAATCGGAATGTAAAATGTTTACGATGCCATGACATGTTAGATAAGAGTTGTCTTTCCCTGAGTAACGAAACATAATGGAATGTGTAAGATGTTGGATAATAGTTGTCGCATAATAGTGTACCTTGACATGTTGGATATACTGTTTCATTCCATTTTCCCCCGGTTAAACAGGTGAACGTTAACTGGGACATGGAATTAAACATGGATTGAGTGAAGGAATAACCATTATCACAGTGTATGTCAACCATTGTACCAGGCTTCGTCTCATTCGAAGATATTACCATATTAGGAGATGTTGGTATAGATGGACAACCTGAAATAAACATGTGGAGTACAACATGTTATTAATGTTACTGTATTGAATTATTTGGTTGTTTTTAACACAGCCTGCTTCGTTAAATAAACGGGTGTGTTAGGTTTTTATCCGAGACACATACTTATGGTAAACATCTACTATTATATTTAGTAACCAGATAGAGTATAACACATACTTATGGTAAACATCTACTAATGTGTTTAGTAACTTGATAGAGTAATAAACTACAACACATACTTATGGAACCACTTATATATTGGCTTGATATATTTGAGAGAATACAACGTACTCTTTGAAACGTTGCCCATATAAAGTATTAGTTGTGTCATACTTTAGAGCATATAGGTTGTTTTGTTAGCTAACCTATAGAACGTTAGAATGTATATTACCTATAGAACGTTATAATGCATATTACCTATAGAAAGTTATACAATATTTTACCTATAGAAAACTTGAGTTTAAAGCCTCCCTGTGACTGTATTATATTAGAGGTGAAAGTTATATACAGCTCGTTACTGCCAGTAAAACTAACACCAGTTTGTGTTTGTTTAAAACCACCAGTGGGATGATAAGTTGCAGAACGATTCATGTTATCAAATATCTAAAATAGAAAATAATACAAAGTTATAGCACGGTTCATATTATCATAAATCTGAAATATAACATATTACACGAGTTACAGAATAGTTTGTGTAATCATATATCTGAAATATAGCTAATCTTATGGCACATTTCCAGAACGGTTCAGTATATCATCCAATATCTGAAATATAACATACAAGACAAAATATAGAACGGTTCATATTATGAAATATCTAAACAAAGAATCATAGCGCACATATCAACATTTACCGACTCGACATAAACTAAACTTGAATTGGATCACTTTTCAGTCAGGACATAATATTAATGAGATATAAAATAGGTTTAATGTCCTGTGAAGACACCAATTTCACCTCCCGGGCCCTTCCCAATTAAAATTGTATAGATTCAAATACAGTGACGATAAGAGACTAAACCACCCCAGCCCGATCCAATATTATACAATCTATCAATTTCAATACAATCTAATACAATTTACCATAAGTGCATCTGTAGTATCCGCCAACGAAAATTGTTCAAACTCTACTGTGATTGGTTGCTTGGGTGTTATATTGGGAACAATTGTCCAATCACAGTTAATGGACGGTGGATACATGTTATTAATAAATCCAGGAGATGTTATATAACCGTCGACATCTTGGATGTTAAAACTACAACCTGAAATATATAAAAATTGTTGTTTATCTTTCATATCTAGGACTTGTTACAGCTTGGATTCTTGTAAAAAGGCCAAATAGTTCAGGCTAAACTGCAATTAATTATAGGCTTTTCAAACCAAATATACTCTTTCCAAACCAAACATGGACTATCCAAACCAAGCATAGACTTTCCTAACCAAATATAGACAGTTCATATCAAGTATAGCCTTTCCAAACCAAATATAGACATTCCAAACCAAATATGGGCTTTCCAAACCAAATAAGGCTTTCCAAACCAAATATAGGCTTACCAAATCAAATATAGACTTTCCATATCAAATATAGGCTTTCCAAACTCGACGGTACAGTATCTATACATGGTATCCAGGTTTGTAAAACACTGGTGTCGACTAGCCACCCGCCCTTTCTTCCTCATAAAATAAACTTTTCTCACCCTTCTTAAATTCGACATTGAAACCTTCTCCTCTGGCGTCATCAGCCCACATGACAACTCTCACATAATTTGAATGGCTGATATAAATTGGTGGTTTCAGGATATCATCATGGTCGGCACCAGAAATTTCAAGCATTTTCTTCTCTACAGTTTTACCATCGTATAATGTCAACCGCCACATGCCCATCAGTTTATAGTTTCTCACCTGAAAACAAATACATAAGAATTCTGGACCACAATATGACAAAAAATGAAATGAAATAAAATTAGGGTTTAACGTCCCACTTTTCTGCACCGAATGAACTAATGAAGAATGGCATATGTCATGCAGTATGTTATGAGAGTAATTGTGCTGGCTACTCCTATAACGAATTCCAGCTGACAAGGGTTCCTTTATGCACACGGGACATCGGCTTTTTGTCCCATCCGAACGATTATACATTGTCCCTTGCCAGCCCTCTGTCCTTAAACCACTGACAAGGGGGAACCACAGGGATCAAATATGGGACCTCCAAGTTAGCGCATAACGATATAACGTATTCACTGAGCCACCGTGGCTCCAGTTTACAATCTAAGTACAAACTTTCTACAAGAAACCAAAAACTGTTCTAATGTAAATATTTTGTAATAGGGATGCAGAGAGAGAGAGATGGGGTTTAACGTCCGCTCGACACAAACTAGGTCATTTCGGGACTAACACATGGTTCAATTTTATTTCAATAATTCGCATGCGCGTAGGGATATTTAGCAGTGGGAGGAAACTGGGGGACCCGGAGAAAACCCACCACGTTGGACAGGCGACCCTACTCCTTGTCACGTACAACCGGGGATTCGAAACCCCAATAGTGATGCAAGTTTAAATGTTATCGGTGTTTTCGTTTTCCATCAGAAGGTTCCATTTAAAGGTGCTTTATGTAAGATTTAGATAAAGGGTAGACAGTTCTCGCTATATTCAAACAATAAATAATGAAAAGGGAATATGTTGAAAATTTCAGTCAACTTACTCCAGTGTAGTCTTGATTATCATTGTTACCATGGTTACGATAATAAACAAAGTCTCGATTATCCATTTTGTAATTAAATTATTAACTTCAATCATATTTAAATACGTTAAAAATCAAATTCATCTGATGCCTAGAGAGTAGATTATGGGCGTGGCATGTGAATAAATGTCTAATTAATAATTTATATAACATTTGAGACCAAACGAAAGACCTGCAATAGACCGATTTAGCTCTTACATAGTGCATCTTTAACTAAGAACAAAAACAATGTCAACTCGAACATTTAATTTACGTTTCATCTTTGTTTCCTTAGACATTTAATAATTTCATTTATGTCTACAAGATTGGTCCAGTGGTCTTAACGAGTGCACTGCGGATCATAAGGTCTATTATTGCGTTATGTGGGTCGCCTGCATAACCTCGTGGGTTTTCTCTGGGTCCTCCCACAGTTAAACCCCCTCACCCTCTCCAAGAAATAAAATGTACGAAGTGTTAGTCCCAAAATGATCGGGTTGGTGTCGAGTTGACGTTGACCCGTCTTTCTAATCCTAACATTATGTAATAGTTGCCTGTGTCCCCTTTACTAGAGTTACTTCCCATTACAATATGAATAAAGATGACTTGCCCCTAAATATGTGTTTACACCGATAACGTGCTGCGCCTAAACCCTAAACAATTTACCTTACAAGATCGTAGAACATATAAAGTTCACTTACTGCAATAGAAATCGCCTCCCCTGTATCAGCCTCTATTAACCAGTCTCTTCGGAACCATCTGGGTGACATAGGGTAAAATGGCGACATAAGTGCTTGCCATGTGGCACTTGCTGTTTTCGTTACAATATCTGTATTTAATTCAGGTACCACTGTATTATATGAAATAGTTAAAATAAAAATGTTCAACATCACCCATTTATTTACCAAAACCATGGAACGTATATACACGGAGAGCCAAAACAAAAACCGAAGTTATATTACATGTATGTATATGTATATTTGTTTCCGGTGACGCAATGCACGTTGGGGTTGGACTGTCGACATGAATCAACGCGTTAACCGAGAAAAACATATCTAGAATAATAGCCGAAAGAGACATGCTATATTTACTAATCAACTCAATATGTCGGCAATCAAACAGAATGAAGGTTATGTTTCCCAGTCCATTTTGTTGAATTACCAATTCGCTGACCCCTCGCAAACAAAGTAAAATAACTATACCTGACGTCCACTGAAGTTTAAACCCTGTTTTTTTAACATCTGAATCTGTAGTAAGTTTGATTATAGCTAAATGGTTAGCTGTGTAGAAGATCTTGTTGCTATGGGAACCAGATAATGTAGCTATCATTGTACTGTTTTTTAAACTGCTAGCTCCTGTCCACACCTCCACCACATCTCGTTTATCTTCTGTATCAACGCTTTCAAACTGTTTATAAAAGTAATTTAATTTATATAATATTTAATTGTCTATAACTGTTTTAAACCATGATTGGCATTGCCTAATATTTTTCTGGGTGCCTCTTTTAATTACCAAATCGCGTCGTCTGACTGTAGGTACATGTCACATTCCTCATGGCTGTTCTGCAGGATGACCGCAACTGCTAACCCTGATCTCGCCCATTCACAGACTGCGCGACATGCTGCATTCCTCATCTCGTGGCTGTTTTGTGGGATAACCTTAACCTAGAACCCTGATCTCGCTAATTCCAAGATATTTGACTGAATTGAGCTGCACATATAGACATGTATTGATATAGTCGTGCAGATAGCAAAATCATGTTCTTACCGTCGAACAAATGCATAAAGATCGCAAACTATCGGACAAATTGGTTGTCGACAGGGTATATTTGTTTGCCGACAGTGAGATTAGCTTTAAGGAGATTGCCTTCTCCCTCAGTTAACCTGGATACTGGATACAATTTTTCTGATGACCATGATAATGTCCAGTAAATCTTAAGAGGGAATTTGTTTCCATGTTTTGAAATGCAAGCATGGCTAAACTCTTAGCGTTATTACGGCTGTGTGATCGCATCCCGCACGTAAAAGCTTAACACAGAAACAGGTATAAATGTGGTAAGTCTTTAGCATGCGTGGTACAAGGCTGCCCTTTCTTCAGACCATCAAAATGATTGATTTTGCGAAAAGATTTGATATCTTTACTAAGAACTATGATAAAATAGTACATTATATTTACCGTAAGTTTCAGTTGATATCCAATCGGTCCAGATATAGTCCATAAACAATTGGCATTATTTTCATACCCAGTTGTTGTTTCTATAGTCCCGGACATACCAGTCTTTAGATATTTACATCTGGTATCTAAAATAAGGTAAAAGAGGAATTGTTTCTGAAGCTGTCTTTGATATATGAAATAAAACCAGGAAGAATTAAAGTATCTGATATTATTTATATAGGGTTCATGAAAGGGGGTTTACCGTCCACTCAACACAAAATATTATTTTGTCGTTTGTGAATGGGCCATTACTATTTGTCATGTAAGGTATGTTTTTCTTTGTTCATTACAATAGATTACACGACTCGTGTACTAAATATAAAATGTTAGTTTTGTCTTACATAATGGATATTAGGTTCGCACCTTTTTTACGGCTAGCTAACAAAAATGAAATGAAATAGGGTTTAACGTCCTACGAACAGTAGGACGTTAAACCCTATTTCATTTCATTTTTGTTAGCTCATATACTGGGCTAATGAAGACGGGCATACGCCATACAGTGTGCTATGAGGGAAATTTACCCGGGTAGCGGCACTATCGCCTACCCTTATGGCTAGCTAACAACATCAATATTGATTGAAATGGACCAATATTGAATTTTGATTCGAGTTTTTAATTTCTAACATTATTGAAAACATAGAGTTAGAATTTATAGCAGGTTTATGTGATCGGGTTTGTTTGTGTGCAGTGCGGTCTCCCTGCATTTATTATTGCTAAGGACGGTAATTATCTAGCAATCCTTCAAAACGCGCAACCGTGTAATACTGTGACAATGAGGTCCCCGGTACGATCCCATTGATGACAGAGACAAGTTGTTCCTTATGATTTCCCGTAGCTGACGCACGTTTATCAAGTAAAATTGTCTAGTTGCTCAGATGGTGCAAAGACCAGAGGTCCCGTGTACATGACGGTGTGCACGTAAAAGAACCATTGACATTTGGAGTATGCATACACTACATGATGTATGTCCGTCTCTATTAGCTCAATTAGTACAGAGCCATAGAAATTTGAGTTTATTAGTTTAATTGTTTAATATAACAGCACCGACTGGTAGACCATACCTACACTTCAACCCGAACAACCAGTACAAAATAAAATAAATAAATACCACAGTTGTTTTCATCAGTAGAGTCTTCACAGTCATTTTCTCCATCACAAACCCATTTGTTACTGATACACTGACCATTAGAACATCTGAAACCATCTGTAATACATGCTGGGGCCTGACAGATAAACGGTAAACTCTCTCGACAGTTTTTAACTTCCCATCTCATTCTTTCATTGGCAGCTACACAATGCCCGAACATGACGTCAGGGGGTGGTTGGTTAAAATCCCATATCCCACCACATTTCTCTTCTTCAAATGTATCATTATCTATAATTATACATACAGAGCACTGTATCAATATCTATAATTATACATACAGAACAGTGTAGCATTATCTATTACTATACATACAGGACAATGTATTATTATCTATAATTATACATACAGAACAATGATTATACATTACTATACGTACAGAGCAATGTAGCATTATCTATACTTATATATACAAAGAGACGTGACAATGTAGCATATCTATAATTACAAATACCGGCAGTATAGTGATCTATAAATAAATATAATTATAAATACGGGCAGTAGAGTGATCTATATATGGAGAGTGCAAGCACCACGATATTATGAACCTTGACTCCATAACAGGACTATCAGTTAAAGAAACCAATTTGTCAACATTCGGAATACACTGAAGATATGCTATGTTCTTGCATTGTTCAATGCGATCTGTGTTCCAGCTAAATATAATACAACATATATAAAACCACAGTACTTACTAGATCTGAGATTTCTAATCCAGAAATGTTTTAATGACTTGGCGGCTGCCCATTCCGAAAATTTTTCGTTTTCAGCACTGTCTTGGACATGCGCTAAATGTCCTCCAATGCTAGAAAATAAAACGCAGATAATGAAACACCCCAACATTTCCTAGATACGTTGTGGAATACCATGTTTAATAGTTTTTAGAAAGTTGCTCGACTAGTACACAATAATGTCTTGTAGTATACTGAAATGGTAACTCAACGTTTGAAAATGTTTGGTGTTCCACAAGGATCAGTCCTTGGCCTTATAATGTTTACATTATATACTACAACATTAAGAGATGGTCTCAAAATATTACTAATATCAATCGAATCCGCCATGTTGTCTAGTAAATTCACCTGATGATATTTGATAGCTGATTTGCCTCTAAAAGTTTTAGGCAAGCTTCAAAAAGTAATAATACTGCTGCAACACTTATTATTAAAGCTAGAAAATACAATCATATTACCTCTGTTAATAATGTAGTATTTAATTTTTACCCCATTTCCTATCAATGATCGGTATGTTATTATACAAACTGATGACACCCCTGTCCCTTCCATCCCCAACCCTGTCCCTTCCATCCCCACCCATTCCCTTTCATCCCCCCCCCCATCTCCTTCCATCCCCACCCTTTCCAAAATGCTCTAGTACCTGTTGCACGTGTCCTCGGCTTCCATCCATTCCACTTTATGTTCTAGAATCATATAACATCTGGCACCATCTATGGTCCATCCTGTAATAATAATTAAAACAGCTCTAGAGTAGTATTAACAACAATACAGACTGTTAAAGATGCATTATGTAAGAGCTACGTTTGTCTATTGTAGGTTTCTTTTCTCCCTTTGAATGTTATATTTACTATTTTTTTTAAAATATAGTAACATGTCAAGTGCATAACCAATTCCCTGTATCATTTTATGGCTCCGATTTTAAGTAGATTATAACATCGCGATATTTAAAAGTTTAACGGCAGAATAGATAGAGGTCCTCTAAACCAAACTGGTATATACATATACTGGTTATGAATTGTTTTACGTAAATAATACCCCTAACCCTAGCCCTAACCCAAAGGTCCGATCAACAAAGGTCTATGTAAGCACTATCTTATACTCTACAAGAATAAAGGTCTAGATGTAGAAGTAAACAAATCCTTGCAATCACAACTAGGTCTTTTACTGGTTAATATTCCAGGTTGCGCAATTATTGAATTTGTCAAACCACCACTCGTACGTACTTAAATATTTTGTTATTAAAGTTTTTTGTCTGCTTTATGAATTTGTTTATCCTATTAAAGATACCTTCCCATTACAAACTGGGTGATTTGGTGATATATTTTGACTAAAAGCATATTCAAACTAATTAATCTGTCAATATTTTACTTCAAATCCTTCTCAATACATTGTATTCGCGAGGGAATACCACTATTAAAAGAAGTCATTCTTGTTTCACACGACTTGGCTGACGCGGTACCTAGCAGCGGGCACGAAGTCGGGGGAGAATTCATTGCATATACGATGTTGTCTTTAATGGCTTAATCAAATTCTCGGATAATCCACTGTTCCCGTCTTTTTCCGTGTTTTTTGTCAGACATAGTCTGTTTTACGTTTAAGTTCACCATCAAGTATATCACCATATACATCAAGCGTTCACTAACGTTGAGAGACCAGACAACCTTCGCGTGCATCCTTTGACGTCACTCGAGCAGACATACTTTATCATGGTGTTGCCGGTTAGGGAAACCATTACATTTTTGTCATGTATGCGCGCCATGCGTGATTTTTCACTCAATCCAATTTCTACTTTCAATATCATACCCAAATTGCGATACGTTTATTGTAAATCACCACTTTTGTAGGAAAGTATCTTTAACCTCCTGTTTGAAAATTAATTAAAATGTTTTAAGGATCTTATTAGCCTTCAAATTAAAAATAAATTAAAATTACCATACATGTTCTAAATTTACCTGTTTGAAGTCAATCGTCTTTTAATGTCCAAGGCCCCATTCCTAGAAAATTCTTAAACATTTAAGTAAACTTACCTTATTTTGTGTTCCCAGAAAATTCTTAAGCATGTTCTTGTGCTTAGATTTAAGTAGACTTTACATTTAAGTAAACTTACCTTATTTTGTGTTCCCAGAAAATTCTTAAGCATGTTCTTGTGCTTAGATTTAAGTAGACTTTACATTTAAGTAAACTTACCTTATTTTGTGTTACCAGAAAATTCTTAAGAACGTTCTTGTGCTTAGATTTTAAGTAGACTTCATTGTAAGCACAAGAACGTTATTATGCGTTCCAAGAAAAAACTTAAGCACAACTTCGTGCTTAAACATAGTCAATCTAAGCACAAGTCCCAAGCAAGGTATACGGCTTGCTTACCAACCCTAAAGTCTGTTTCCACTTCAAACAGATGGCTGACCGTAGAGTTATTCGACACCTTTTGATACCAAAGAGACAATTACAAGACAGAGAAACTCCTTTTCCAGAAGAAATTAAGAATACTATAGAAAATTTCGCTTCTACCCTGAAACCATTTTATTTATTTGCCAATTAGTAAACAATAGGCTACAAACACACGGGCTACTTAAGATCAGGCGCTCTCACAATTATTCAGCTAGCTTGTATGTGTCTGCGTTTTTTTTATCTTGTGGTAAATTTTATATGTGTATAGGGGACATGTCAAATGCATCTAAATCAACCATATATATATATGACATCAATGAAGCAGACGAGAAATTTATGACGTAATTCGCATACCAAAGTTGTTTTTGTGACGTTAAAGAGCATCGTAGCCTCAGATTATGGTAAACTTTACCAGTCACAATGTGCTTAGACTTATACTTGTGCTTACGTAAGAATGGTCTTGAGAATTTTCTAGGGACGGTATTTTTATAAGTTTCTTACGTAAGAAAAAGTGAAGCATGACTTTGTGCTTACTTTAAGAACTTTCTAGGAACAGGGCCCAGATCTCGTTACTAGCATAACACCAAAGGGATACTCATAATCAGTTCATTCCCAATTATTATGTGGATCTTAAGTTCACTTGGTGTTTTTCTAATAGTAGGCTATAAAGCGTCATGCCTATTAATTCCTTTAACCGTTAACCCGTGTCTGCTTGAAAACATGCTCAAGATAATTCTTTGTGTCGAGGTAATTGGGAGAAAAGGTTACTGATGCTGAAAACATTCAAGTGAGATTATGTGAAATACAGAGGTTGGAACAGGTCGTCGCGCCTCGAGTCCGAGTCGAGTCCCAAGTAGCCGCACTTCGGTCCCGAGTCGAGTCCCAAGTCGCCGCACCTCGAACCCGAGTCGAGTCCCAAGTCTTCATAAAGTCCGGGTATCGTTCAAGTCACCAGTTCATCAAACGAGTCAGCAATTATGGAGAACAGGCCCGTAGCCAGCTTTCTGGCGCAGGGGGGGGGGGGGGGGGGCAGCCCCGGCGGTAGGGGGTCCGGGGGGGGGGGTCTCTCTTGCCGGGGGTACGGGGTCTGCCCCCGGAAAATTTGAAAATTGAGTAGCTGTAAACGAGTTTCTAAGTATAGAAATCGACAATTATATGTTCTAAGAACGAACTATTCTGAGTGTTTTTCAAGAAATATATTCAAATCATACATAGGTAATTTATAAATATGGCCGACAACTTTTTGTCAGGGGGGGGGGGGGCAAGATTATTTCCAGGGGGGGGGGGGACTTCGCGCCCCCAGGCCCCCCTTGGCTACGGGCCTGATGAAGAATGGGGTAAGTTTATGCCCCATCGCCGCAATTCGAGTCCTTAGCCCTTTCATGGTCGGGAGTCGACACGACGGACGAGTTCGAGTCAAGTCTCGACGTCACAATAAATATTTCAAGTCGGACTCGAAATGGGAGTTAATATCCTAGATTTTGGCACCAACGAGGCTAATGGAGAGGTGCACGTTGGCTGGCGTGTACCCCGGGCCTCGGTTTTTCGTCCAATATTTGTAAATTAAATTGAAAACTTTTTATTGGAAAAAATACTTTTGTCGTGTATAAAAGGCGATAAAACCACTTATTACACCAATGTACGGGCGATGTAGTGTGGGTTATTTATAGCCCCCCCCCCCTTCTCCTCCTCCTCCACCACCACCCACCCTTCCCCCCTCCTCCTCTTTCTTGTTATGTTTTCATTTCATGTCCTATTTGGTTGTTCTTTTGAAGCAAGTTTATATTAATTTTATCTGTTATGGTTTGTGAATATCACGGATCAGTGGACAAACAGACGTCCATTAGTTAAATCCATGTGATAAATGACATTGTGTGTCATCTTCAGGGCGTTATAAGATGCACGATGTTTATTTGGGTTTAAAAAATCTTATATTTGGGCTTGGTCACAATCTCAAATAACGCTTGAAATTAGCATTACAGTTAAAAGGCGGTTGCACTAGGTAGCCATACACCGTTTAATACTTCAGTGGAGACTGCTATCTATTAAAGTGAACACTGTGATAAAACTGTATTATGACATGTGTTAATTTGTATTTTAACATGCGTTAAATTGTATTATATGATTTCATTTGTATCTATTAATTTGTGTTATGTTGACGTTGTGCGTTAATTTGTGTTATGCTGTATTATATGCGTTAATTTGTATTATAATATGCGTTAATTTGTATCATAATATGCGTTAATTTGTATTATAATATGCGTTATTTTGTATCATAATATGCGTTAATTTGTTTTACTATTGCGTTAATGTGTATAATGATATGACTTAAGTTGAATTATGATGTGCTTTAATTTGTTTCATGATGTGCGTTAATTTGTTTTATGATTTGCGTTAATTTGTTTTATAGTGTGCTTTAATTTGTATTGTATTAATATTACTTAATATATATTATGCTGTGAATTAATTTGTTTTATGGTGTGCGTTAATTTGTAGTAATATTAGTTGATACATATGATGCTGTGCTTTAATTTGCTTTACGGTGTGCGTTAAATTATATTATATGCGTTAATTTGTATTAATATTAGTTAATATATATTATGATGTGCGTTAATTTATATTATATATATGAATTTATATTATATGCGTTAATTTATATTATATGCGTTAATTTGTATTAATATTAGTTAATATATATTATAATGTACTTTAATTTATACTATGATATGGGTTGTTTTGTGTCATGATATGCTTTATTTTGTACAATGACGTTCGTTAATTGGTATTATGATATGCGTTAATATGTATTAATACACGCGTTACATGTAATTATGGTCATGTTAACTTTTGTATACAAAGTCAGTTAAAACCCTGATTAAATAAATGTGTTTTAGGTTGTTTTTTTAAAAGAATTTTGAGATGTTCAACATCTTAAACTAAATGGTGGATTATTCCATAAAACAGGTGCTTGATAATTAAAAGAGCGCTGGCCATAAGAGACTAGTTGAACAGTTTTGGGCTTTAAAAGTAGTTTATCTGATGTACGTAATGTTCGGTCAGGTGTATAAAGTTATAAAAGATCTGACAGGTAAACAGGAGCTAAATTATTTAAACATGTAAGTAAGTAATAAAATCTTAAAATCAGTTCGATATTTAACAGGTAACCATTGTAAATTATTTAAAACAGGAGTTATGTGGTCACATTTCTTAGTTAAAGTAACAAGTCTAGATGCAGTATTCTATACTGTTTGTTATTTATCTAAAAGCTTTAAGGGTACAGAGAACTAAAAGTGAATTAAAGTTATCTAATCGAGCAATGACTAGACAATTTACAGTATGATATGCGTTATTTTGTATTATGATATGTGGTAATGTTGAATATTTCCGTGACGTCTCATGTCGGCATTTTGATATTTTATCGACTAGTGTCATATTCACCCCCCAGGCGAATAAAATTTTAACTATTACAATGACAGAAAGGGAGAAATAGGGTTTACCGCATATGAAATAACACTAACCAAATATTCCTTCCTGCGTACTAACTGTGTGATTTGGTGATATATTTGGACTAAAGCAATATTCGAAATAATTTATCTATGAAAACTTTGCTTCAAATCCACCTCAAAACATTTTAATCTCAAGAAATTAATTCTACAGAGCCTTGTTTGTCACGTGACTTGATTGAGGAGAGGGGTGGGCGTACATTTTCAATTTGTATTTAGTGCTAGTCCCTGTCCATTTGCCATGAATATCAAAGCCTAAGTATCTTTTTTTGTATTATCCTCTGCCAATATTTCCGTCGTGTAATTAAGTCTGTTGCACGCTGAAGTCTCTCAATATTTTCACAACCGCTAGCCAAACAAAGCCCTCTCAGAATCAATCGAATAGACAATGAGCTGACCTGTTATCAGTTAGTGATACCGTGACATTGTCGTCATTTGCGGGCCACATGGGTGTTTTCAGGGAATCAAGTATTTTTCTAGCATGATTGGGTATTTCTACTTTCCATATATATCAAATTTAGCATACTTGTATTGAAAATATCCACCCTATACATACGTTCGTGGGAATGATCTTTAATCGGGAATGGGGAGCGGAGGTTCCTGTGAGTATGTAGACTCGGGGGGGAGGGGGGTCTTAAAGAACGTATTGTTTTAACCAAGTGTTGGGTGCCTTTTGTTTAATTTGGGTCCCTTTATGATGAATTGGTAAGATTGCCACACGCTTAATTTGGGCATAAGCTAAAAACATCAGGAAATACATAATTGCAGGATAGGAAGGATGGGTAGCCGAATGGATAAGCCATGCGCGTTGCATCATAAGATCTGCTATTGCGTCAAGTGGCGTGGTTTCGATTCCCTGTTTGTGCGTGATAAGGAGGGTCGCCTGTCCAACCTCGTGGTTTTACTCCGGGAACCAAAGTTTCCTCCCACTGCTAAAGACCCTACGTGCAAGCGAATTATTGAAATGAAATTGAACCATTTGTTGGTCCCTCTCTTCAGAAAAAAACGTTTAAAGTACCTTTTCAGCCCCCCTCCCACCTTTAGAGTGAAGGGCCATCACGGGGTCAGACTTAAGCTCACGGGCCTCCTGTCCCCAGTTCACCCATGTATTACTAGAAATATATAAAATCACAAATATATATAAAACAACATACCTGTTGGACATGAAAACTTTATTTTTGGTGTTAGACATCTTACCTGAAATAGATGAAAAACAAATAAATAAATTGTTTATAAGGAAAGGTCAGCACCTCGTACCACGGTACACTTGATCCTCCAAGAACTTTAAATCTGACAATAGGAATATTTTTATTTCAGGAAGAACTATTTCGCTTCAGGATAGTGGGGACATGCAGGCCCAAACAGGATAGTGGGGACAAGAAAGCCCAAACAGGATAGTGGAGACAAGCCAGCCCCAACAGGATAGTGGGGACAATAAAGCCCCAACAGGATAGTGGAGACAAGCCAGCCCAAACAGGATAGTGGGGACAATCCAGCCCCAACAGAAGACAGACATACATATTATGGTACTAAACTTTCAGATGGTGGCTCCTAACCAGCAGAAATCATCTCGCAATTAACCTGTATTACATATCCTCCATACCAAACTATATGGTATATGTCTCTCTCCACGAAGCCCGGATGAAGGTAGAGGTAGGATTGGGGTTGGTGTTAAGGTAAGACGTTACACACCATTTTATGTTTATTGTACATTCTCTATTTGTTATCATTGTCTATATGTTGCCAATGAAATGTTTTTTATACATTGTCTATTTGTTACCAATGAAATGCGAATATTTGTAATAACTATTAGTTGGTTCTTAGTTAACAGGAGCCTCGGTGACTCAGTGAGTAAGACGGTGGCACGCTGACCAGGTCACGTGTTCGCTTCTGGTGTTGCACGAGAAAGTTCATCGGGATTGTCCGACGTGGTTTCCCTTTGTCAGTGGTGCATGACGGAGGGGATGACAAGAACAGGTGTCTAGTCGTTCGGATGGGACAAAAAGCACCCCTTTCCGGGCAAACTATCCCTCATAGCCCACTGTATAGCATATGCCTGTCTTCATTTGTCCAGCCAGAGTAGAACAGTAGGATGTTAAATCCCCTTTATTTAATTTTATTTTATTTCCTAGTTTAATATAAAATTATGCTAATATTGACGTCATATCATCAGTTAAAATCTATTTATGTTGTTATTGTGTATCAAATTACAAGTGAGTTGTCTACCACATGGAGGGAATGATATAATACTTTGTTCCCGTAGGCAGTCCTAAATATATTTTACAACATCATTGGGCTGGCTTGGTGAACGATGAAATGTAATGAAATGGGGTTGAACGGCTAACTGTTGCTCGGGCTGGGCTAATGAAGACGGTTATACGCCATATAGTGTGCTATGAGGGGATCTTTTGCTGTTGTTTTTACCCCCGTGCCCACCCATAGTGTCACTGCGCCCCTAATATAAAAGACGGCGTCAAATAGTTATAAAGATAATACTAGTTTGCTGCATCATGTGTTAAATATGACTAACTTTGATCGACCATCTGATCAACGTCTATGTATGTAATGATATTACAAATAAATTGTGCAATATTATTTTAATATCCTGTTTCATCTTATATAAACATCTATTTAAATATATGAATAAGATATATTTTGATCGACCATCTGATCAACGTCTATGTATGTAATGATATTACAAATAAATTGTGCAATATTATTTTAATATCCTGTTTCATCTTATATAAACATCTATTTAAATATATGAATAAGATATATAGATATTAGTACACTTAATCTTTCTTGTATTCTCCATCCAAACGAAACTACACCCCTTCTACGATAATCATCCCCACACAAACGAAACTGCCCCACCTCAGTAGTACTCTAAATCCCATTACATTTCATTCCATTTCCCTTTCAACGCCACCAGCAATACGAAACTATACTATTATTTTAATTCCTTTAACATATAACATTTCTCATTATCGTCCCAATTCCTCAAATAGGGTGAGTAGCAAATGGCGTGGACAACAAATGGTAACAAATGATGTGAGTTACAAACACGGTGGGTAAAAAATGCCGTGAGTAACAAATACAGTGAGTAACAAATGACGTGTATATCAAATGACATGGGTAACGAAATGAAATGGGTTTAACATCCTTCTTCTCTGCCCCGACTACACCTTGGGTAACAAATGCCGTGAGTACCAAATGAGGTGAGAAACAAATGCCGTGAATAACAAATGAAGTAAGTAACAAATGAAGTGAGTAACACATGACGTGGGTAACAATGCATTTTAGATGATAATTATTATTAAGATGTGTCACTGGTGACATATATTTCAAGCATGTACATATGATAATTATTATTCAGACGTGGCCCTGGTAAATTATATATTTTAAGCATGTATATATTGCTGAAAATCAATAAATAAGGGATGTGGTGACAATTGAAACTGAACAGGGACATTTACGTAAATTGACGGACGTGACATATATAAATAAGTGAGACTTATTGCAGACATTTAAATGGGTGAAACCTCCTTTAATCAGCTGCGTATCCATATAAAAGGGCGCAAATTTTTACTCGTGAAATATATAAGTGGGACTGAACGCGGGTCTTTAAATGGATTGACCCCAGTTTACGTTGCCGCATATCTACATGTATATGGATACAATAGGGCGTGAACTTATTGACGTGATATACATAAATAAGTGAAACTGAACGCTGCTCTTTAAATGGGCGAAACCCCCTTAAATAGCTGTGTATCTATAGGTAAATAAAAGGGCGTGAACTGACGGGCGTGAAATAGATAAATAAAGTTTTGTATAGTGTACATAGTTTGATATGCTCTGTCACTACCGATGGATAGTCGTCTAAGTATATAAACAATTAAATCTTCTTCACGACATTACTGACCTATTTTACTGTGACGATATTGACCAAGTATTCAATATACAGCTCATAAAACTACAAATATTTATAGGGTATAGGGAGGCAGGCCATAAACCGCTAGAGGGTTCTATTTGATCTTCAAGTGGTTTCATAGGCGTTATTAGCATCAATATCTTTGATACAAAGCTTTTTATTATGTTTAAACCCCTTCATGTCTATCCTGGGTAATTACAAATTTCTGATTTATAACAAATATAGAATAAGTAATAGGTCTGATATCCAATTTATTTCTAAGTTTATAATTCATAGTAATGCTGAATAAAGAGACTATCCAATTATCCAGACTTAATGTATATGTATATTATTATTCATAGCTTTATAGAGGACGCAATACTGAATGAATAGGCTATAGATTCAATTGTCCAGACCTAATATATTTCATTTTGTTAGTCGTGTGTCATCTTTAATTAAGTTTCACGTTGAGTTATAATGATGCTATATAAACGTTTCTATCCATGGCGGCCCCTTACAGGTAATCTATATTAAAGGAGGCCAGTCTCTAACTCAGTAGCATTCACAGTCTTCGATATTGGAAACACGACTTATTGGTCAATTTAAATCAACATTTATTTTGTTATCTTAGCGTAAAAAGATGGGATTATATGATATCCAATACTTAAGACAAAATGAAAATTTTAAAATTGGCACAGGAATTGTGTGCCAGAATGCTTTCGAGTGCCATTTGTAATGGAACGACTCGATGAACAAGGCTAAACATATCCCACGGGAGAATAATACCGGTGTAGACTGGAATAACGAGACGCCAAAGACGGCAATTCAATTTGGACTCTTCGCGTTTTTCGCCGGATATAACTGATTAGAAATTAAGGTAAAATGAGTTATAATACACATTATAATATGCGATGCAATCCATTTATGTTCATTTCTATATGCCAAAAAAATAGATATTTTGCTCCTTTAAACAGGTGATCTAAAGGTCTGGTTACGTTTTGGACTGGGAATAAAATTAAACCATGTATTAGCGCCGAAGTTACCTAGTTTTTGTCCATTTCTTCCTCTCGTTGTTTTTCTTTTGTGTTTTTTTTTGTTTTTTTTTTTTGTTTTATTTTTTGTTTTTGTTGTTGTTGTTGTTGTTGTAATTTCTGGATATTTATTAATATCTACAAGATGATTTTAGGGGATTTCTTTCAAAAACAACTTGTCATGGGTAATTAATTTGCAATATGATCTCCGGTTCAAATTTCATCTACACCTTCTGTAATTTGAGTAGAATTATACAATTATCACGTGGTCTAAAAAAACTAAGTATAAACTAGGTCGCACATTAAAGATGCATTATATAAGATTTAGATAAAGAACTGATCGTTCTTGCTATAACGTTCGTCAGTGATAAACGCGCAACTTTAACCTTCTAGAATATAAGTGCAGTTTTCATCTTTTTGAATACATTAATAGAAGTTAACTGAATTGAGGAGTTCACAAAGGCAGTGGGTTTTTTTCTATAATTTTAACTCCGGTACTATTTCAGTAACGTACCTCTACCAGTATTTATGGGGCCTAGCCATGACCTCACACCAAATTTCAGCCGAATCTGCCAATAACTTTTTATTTTACCGTAGTTTAGCTTATATTACGAGAAAGTTTATCTGATTTTGACGCCATTTTGTTTGTTGGCTATTTAGACTCGAATAACAAGACAGGGTTCGGGTTAGGGCTAGCCCTGTCTACATCTTGAGACTATGATGAAATCTACAGGTCCTAGCCCTTACCCTAACCCTTATCTTAACCCACAAACCACATATGACGTCATTCGAGCCTAAATAGTCAACAAACAAAATGGCGTCAAAATCGGATAAACTTATCTCTTATAGAAGCTAAACTACGGTAAAATAAAAAGTGATTGACCGATTCGGCTGAAATTTGGTGTGAGGTCATGGCTAGTCCCCATGAACGCCCCCTGAAAATTTCAAGTCTCTACGATCACAGGTACTGGTAGAGGTACGTTACTGAAATAGTACCTTTAACTCCACCTAGAATGATATAGCTAGAGAATAATAATGAACAACGTTTGTATTCTCTGCGTTAGCTTTGGGATTATAATTATCCAAGAAAAGAAAGAAAATCGTGGAGGTATTTTTTTAATAGCGTGGTTGTTATTAATATACAAGTCTCGGTTCACAAGCCACACTGGATTTAACCCGAAGCGATAGGTTAAAGTAATTGGTAATTTACGTCAATGGAATACACCCAAAACTTTGAAAATAAGAGACGAAATTAA